TAATCAAGGATTTAAATTTCAACCATATAAAAAATGATCATGAATTTACAATCAAGGAATACTATATTGGTATTAGTACGAGACTTTTTGAAAAGCTTAAATAAAGTCAATAGCAATAAGAGCTTAGGTTGAAAGTAAACAACATCGTACCATTGTGGATATAAGTGATTCCTAACCATGCCTTAAACTTAGTCATGTTCATAGAATCCTCAAATGTCGAACAAAAATATTGTGACAAGGCATCGAATATTATGTATTTTGATGGATATTTTTATTTATTTATTTATTTTTTGTATAATCCGAATCGGTGAATGATAGTGTTCCCCATGCCATGTCTAGTGTGCCTATAATTGCCCAATCACAGTGCCACTCTTATTGGACACACCATTATAGTTATTAATGTTGGTAGCCTTATTGCTTTTATGCAAAAAAGAACCATGTGATTCATTCAGATATACATAAATTTACCATTTTTGGCTTCCTTTTCTTTTAAAAAAAATATATATATATTCGAAAATCAAACACGTTGAATTGTCCATTGATTTCCCATTAGATGAAATATTCTTTCAGATTTTTTAATGATAAATTTATAATAAAATGGGTGGATGATATTCTCTTCTTTTGTATTTTTTCTATTTTGAGAAACCATATTTATTTTTTTTAAGTCAAACCTCAAATTAACTCTATATTGGCCTTTGTTAAAAATTCAGCCTTTTTTAATTTAAGAAATCTAAAAAATAACGTTTAAATTTAATTAAGTGAACTAGAACTTCAATGTGAAAGGCAATAGTCAAACGATTTTTCAAGGTTTAAAGTAAATGAAAATTTTCTTATTTATTGATTTTGACTCCGGTGAAAACGAGGATGTTTCAGTATAAGACACTAAAACTATAAAGATTGATACCAATAAAGAAAAAGTAAAGGAAAGACATGAAGGTGAAAGCGACAAGTGCATAACACCAGCACGAGAGTTGGAGATAAGGTGGGTGAGGGAGTTGTAGCTTGGGTGCCCACAATTAATAAAGGAGCTCGGTAACAACACAAATATAATTAAACATACACTCCTCGTCATTTATTTAAAAAAAAAAAAAAATTATTGGAAAAATTAAAGAGTTTAAGAATGAAAGTTTTATGGAAAATAATAATTATATGCGTCCAAATTTTAGATCTAAATTGTGGGAATGATTGAAAGTTGTCCCGTGAGTTTTATTAACATAATTAATTATAACACGCCTAATTAAATTAATACATACAGGTCAGAATGGGTGCAGGACGGCACGTGATTTGTAAATGGATATATTAATTAAATCTTAATCCAATAAGACAACTTAATTAATATTTTAATACAAAAAGTCCAACCTCAAAACTGTTTCTTTTTATCACTCAAGGGAAAACAAAGGTTAAAGTTTCAATACTATTGACTTTTCTAATTATGATCTTACAATTTTTAAAAATAAATTAAATACTAACGATTTAATTAAAAAACTAAATTAATAAAAATATTCATGAACTTCAGGATATTTTTTTTATATAAAGTATTAATTGGATATTATTAAAATATTTTTATTAATTTAGTTAAAATTGACATAATGTCCTAAATTCTAAACATTGATTGACACGAAAATTCTCCACCGACATGGAGAGAGCGATATAAGATTTGTGAGTGGAATATAATAATATTTTTATTTTCCTTTTTGTTCGGAAATTGAATTATGGTTGGAGGCCAAAAAAAGGGTGGAAGAATTATTATATCCTACGTGGTCCAATAGCTGCACCAATAGCGGCCTCAAAAATTAACTTTATTTATTCCATCTCAAATTTGTTTCTTTCCTTTTGGAAAATACTTAAATCCCATTTTAATCCCCAAAAAAGGGGGGGAAATGCGTATTTTTTGTTGGAGGGAATTAATTAGTAATTGCAAGAAATAAAAGATCTATAATATAGAGTGCAATACACGCCAAATATTTTACTTGGGAATGGCGGATATATATGGTTTAGCTTACTATATACTAGATATAACCATCTACAATATATAACTATCCACCATATATAGTTTTACCGTATATAGCTTTTTAGTATAATAGATATTTACCATCTATATCTATGACAATTTATATTTCATTTGTCATATAACTCTTCACTAAGCTATAAATAAGTATCAAGCTCCATAACTTAACACCTTTTACTTGGCTCGGTTGGATCACCAAGGCTTATTCTCGTCTCTACTCGACAGGTGGGTCTTGTAGTCAACTTCTTTTCTGCCTTTGCACCGAAAACTTAGAATATTCTTCTTATTCCGTTAAAATATATTTTTCTTTTTCTTTGTACTTTTGAGTTTTTGTTTTTGTTTTGGGTTAGTATTACATAATGGATTAAATCATCCATTTGTATAGTAGGATTTGGGCCTTCTAAAGCCCATTCATCTGGATTCTTTTGAAGCAGAAAGCCCAGCCCGAGTGCAAGATGTAGTTACAAGTAGGCCCATAAAATCAAACCCATAGGCCCAATTGGTGTTTACACGTTGGAATAATAATAATAATAATAAATTGTTATTAGATTTGGGGGAGAGAGAGAGAGAGGGAGAGAGAGAGAGAGATTCACACGCATGGGCAAGACGAGAGTAGTCAGAAAGCACGTGTGGGCTCATTGCCACATCATTATTATCATAACTCCAACAACCAACCATACAAATCTTACTAAAAAACAAAAAAGAGAAACTAGGAAATGATGGCACTATATATTTATCTAAGTAAAAAAAAAAAAAATGATTCAACTTATTCAATGGGACCTCTAATGATTTTTGATGTGCCCAATAAATTACCACAAAATTAATAATTTAACCCTATACATAAATGAAACTAACCTTACACATATCTAAATTTTTACCAAAATAGTATTTTAAGATTAAAAAAATCATGAATGAATATAGAGTTTTCCTTTTTTTTAAAAAAAAAAAAAGGAAAATTGAAAATCCTTAGTCAAAGCAAAACGACGAGAGAAAAAAGGAGGGAATATAAAAAGAAAAAGGTAAAGATAGTAATAATAATAATAATAATAATAATAATAATAGAAAAAGGAAGAAGAGGAAGTAGGGAAGCGGAGTATTATGGCCGACACAAATTGTTTGTAAGTAAAACAAAAGGACCTCAAAATCCCACCTCTGTTTTAAAAGCATATATTAAATAAATAATAAAAAAAATAAAAAAAAAATAAAAAAATAAAAAAGGTGTCATCTTTTTGCAGCATAGTAATTACATTTGACTAAGATTTGCTTTGTTGAGTTTGTTCAAAATGTTGGCTTTTTCAGGAAAATAGCATGTGCCCAACCACATCTCACACTCTTTTCCCTATTATTATTATTTATTTATTTATTTATTTATTTGTGTAATGACTTTGTAATATAAGAATTACAATTAATTATGTTTAAGTTGAGGGGAAAAGAAAAGAATTCAAAAGGGAAAGGAAGAAGAATAAGAAAGAATGAGGAGTAATGTAATATTTATTCGCCGAAAGGTACAAAAGGACATTCCATCATCTTTTTTTTTTTTCTCTAAAATTTATTCAATTTTATTTAAAAACAAAAAGAAAAATCAGACATATTTTAAATAAATAAAAAAAAAGTGAAGGGATTTACTTTTGGTATGGTCAAGGAGTGTTGTGATAAACTGAGAAAAAGAAAAAGGGTTGGCTTGACCTTCCTTTTTTTTTTTTTAAGTGAATATATAATATATAATATATATAATATGTGGGTGAATTATGATCAGTCATTTTTTTGCTTTTTTCTTTTTTCTTTTTGAATTTTTTGAAATTGTTCCTTATTGTATCTATGCCTTTTGGCTGTCACTTATTACAAAAAATTAACACCAAAAACATCATTAATTGTGTAAAAATTAAGGATTCATTGTTTTGTTGTATAATACGATATCATAAATTAATATCGATAGTTCTTCTCGGATCTCGCGACGATTTTTAACTCAAAAAGAGCTTCTTTTTTTTTACCAGATACTCAACTCAATTACCTTTCTTTTATCATAATTTAATATGAGTTTACATAAATTTAAAAATGGGAAGAAAAAAAAGAAAAAAAAAAGGGTGGTATTGTAGTACAGAAAAGGTAGATTGGGTGATAAAATATTAAGAGAAAAGAGAGTAATTTGAGTAAGAAGTCTGTGCAACTTCAAACCCACACCAACTCCCCAAAAGCTGATCAATAACCCCCCTCGCTAGATTCCCAATCTTCTATTTTTTTTTTTTCTAAATTAATAAAAATATATTTTAATTTTGCAGAAAAAATAACATTTTGACTGTAAAATGTATTTTTAAAAAAATTTAATAAATTTTTTTAAACTTTTAGTGTATTTTTGAAACATTATTAAAAATGTGAACGTATCTTTAAAATAAATTACTAACATTTTGATCCAAAACTAATTGTAATAATATTTTTTAGATTTTTTTTTAATTTTAAAGGTATTATTTGAAACTTTCAACGTTGTTCACACAAACTACAAGCTTTATGATTATTTTTATTGACATAGTTTTTTTTTTAAATTTTTCCACACCTCGTTTTGATTAAAAATAAAAAATAAAAACAAACTCCAAAAATTATAAAAATAAACTAACATTTAAATTAAAGCTTCATTCATAGTTTAAAAAAAATTAAAATTAAAATTCCACTTATTTGTCCACAATTATTTTTTTTAATCATATTCTCATATTCTCACATTTATGTGAAGATGATTTAATTTTCTAAAACTAAAAACTAAAACTGAAAATTACTAAATCTCATAAACAAAAACAAGTTTTTTTTCAAAAAAATTATTAATTTAGCTTTCAAATTCTAACTCAAAACATATCTAATAAAAAAAACATAGATCATACTAGAATAAATATTCATAAGCTTAACTTAAGAAATTTAAATAATTAAATAGGTTTTAAACGAGATTAAGTAATTATGAAATGGGTATAGGAATGGAAAAGGACCATTTTTTTTTTTTTTTTATATATAGAATTTGCCCATAACAAAGACAAAATATAGTCAGTGACTGAAGGTAAAGAAAATACATAATAAAAGAAAAAAGCATAATCTAAAAAAAAAACAAGGGAAAAAAAAAGGTCAGTACACAGTTTTGATTACTACACAGTCAGCTTAGTGGCAGCTACCATATTATCCACCTTTCATTCTATTCCAAATATTGGCGTTTGAAACAGGCTTGCTCTACTTAATGCTATCGGGGCTGCAAATTGTTGGTGCTGCTCGTAGGCGCCTCCTTCGGGGAGCGGCGGCGAGGCGGTTGGAGGGAGGTCGGCGACGGGGGGGAACATTGTGGATGCGGGGTTTGAAGGTTGTTGGAACATTGTGAAGGAGGATGAGGATGTTGGTGGTGGAACGTTGTAGCCGAACATGGACCAGTATTGGTCGGATGGGTCTTGTTTGATGGGCGGCATTCCGAAGGTTAGAGTGGAGGTGTTGGGGTGAGATGGGAGGAGAGTCGCGGTGGAGGAGACGGGAGAATGGTGGACCTCGCGGTCTTCGGAGGCGGCGGAGTCGGTGGTGGGTTTGGATTTGGTGGCCGACATGCCTCCGATGGGAAGGTTGCTGCTGGCTATGCTTTTGACGTCGTAGCGACTTATGTCGAAGTTGGTGACTGCGTTTAGGCCTCGGAATTTGATGGCCGCAATATCATACGCCTCCGCTGCTTCTTCCTGAGTGCCTATTTAATATAAAAATAATTAATCATATAATAATAATAATTAAATTAAAACATAATTAATTAATTAGAGAGCTTACTGAAAGTTCCAAGGTAGAGATCTTTATTGCCGGCAACCCTCCCGATTCTTGCTTGCCATCTGCCATGTTGGTGGTGCCTGAACAACAAAACGATGTCGTTTTCAATGAACACTTCAGAAAAAAAAAAAAAAAAACCAATGTTTTTTTATTAAATACCTTGTTACACCTCTGTAAATAGAAGCTCCTCTAGAGAAACCGCTGCTTTTCCTATTGAAAGAGAAAAATAATTGAAAATTATTGTAAAAACTAATTAAAATGTTTAGATGTTAATGTTAATGTTAATTACCTTCTTAATGAAGCGACAAATTCTTGTCTGGTCATGTTCTTCATATTCTCAAGGTCTTTTTCGTAATCCGACACCTTTAAAATCAAGATGAAAAAAAAAAAAGATTTAAAAAAAAAAAATGGAAAAAAGTAGGAAAAAAAATTTGAAACTGACCGGAAAGTTGGTGGTGGTGGTCGGACCCCAGTATTTGAGAGCGGCGAGATCATAAGCTCGAGCTGCTTTTTCTTCCTTGTCATAACCACCTAATCACAAAAGACATAATTAATAATAATAATTAGTTATTCGAAATTCAAATTCAAATTGAATGAGAGAATAAATCTTTGAAGAGAATCTTTGGCACTGTCGAAACCCAGACAGACACACTGTCTGATCTGTGTTCTTTTTGTGATGACTCAATCATACATTTCTATATTTATATCACAACTTAATTATTTTATTTGAATAAATAAATAAAAACTCACCCAAATAAACTGAGGAGAAATGAGAATCCATCCATGGCAGCAACGATAAATCACGTCCGATCACCAAAACAAGACGCAAAAAAATAAAGACCCACATCAGAATCTTACAAAAAAAAAACCCTAATTCATTCAAGTTTTAATTTTTCTACAAAAAAAATATCTTCTGAATTTTCATTAGGAAAAAGGACAGTAATCTTGCAGAGAAAAAAACAGCTTTTTTTTCTTTTTTATTTTGAGGTAAAAAAGAAAAGACAGCATTTTATACATAAATGTGGTTGTTTTATTCCACATTTGGAAACCCTAAAATAAATAATTATTAATAATAAGTACAAAAAAAAAAAAAAAAAAAAAAAA